CTAAACTAAGGAAATATAATCAAAGGAAATAAAGCAAAAATAAAGAACTAGCTAGAAAACACTTAAGAAGAATATATGGGAATGGTAGATTCTAAGACTATGGGTTCAATTAACAGTTGGGTTCCTTCAAATTTATCACAACTAACTATTTTCTTTATCTACCCTATAAGATGATCGCAATTTTAGCCTATCGTCCCTCTCGAGATCGATAAAACCGTAGATTAAATCACATATATTAGCGTCTCCACTCAACACATGCAATTCAACTCCAATTAGAACAAAAGATCTAATATCCTCACAACGACCTACTAATCTCTCGATTCAAGCAAGTAAATTGTGTCAAATATTAAAGACCTAATATTGAACTCATCTCTCGAATTATGAACAATATTGTCAAACATGTAAAAGAATTGATCAAGTTCTAAACATGAAACAAGAACAAAATATTTGAATAGGGTTCAAAAGAAAATAATCAACTATGATAAATCATCCAAAATCCCAGCATATTAATCTACTACCATGTCTTAGAATCAATGAAATTTAGCTACTCATGTTTGAAATCAAATACATAGACATATTAGAAATCAACATGATCAATAATAGTTCAAAAGGAAAGAAGAAAGGAAAAACTAGGAATCTCGTCGATCTTTCAATCTCCTTGATCCCTTTGTGGTTGATCTTCTTTTGCCTTCCAATTGCTCCTCTTGTGTGTTTCCAAGCCTCTTTAACGTGTTCCCCTCTTTTTGGCCTCTCAAACTAGGTTAAATATGCTTCCTCTTGTGTCCAAAAACCTCTCCTAGTCAAATTAGGCAAGTATTAAAATTCTGTTCCAGCGCGCGACACGGCCTGACACGCCCGTGTCACAGCCCGTGTCGCGGGTCGTGTCAGGTATCAAGCCTCGGAATGCCCCTGTTCATGTGACACGGCCACCTGACACGGGCATGGTGCCCGTGTCACATCCCAGCACTCTCGTTTTTTGTCCGTTTCACTCGTTTCTTCCATATTTCTCATCCGTGCATCAATCCATCATCATATCGGGGGTCCTAGGTACTCACCATGCGCCTCCAATAGCCACAAGCTCTACAAATATGTGAAAATATCTACAAAACAAGCACGTGTAATACCTTTCCAACAAATAGAGAATTAAAGCACAAATATGCGATTTATACACCAATAACGCAATGACTAAGCTCTAGATACTCAATAAATATGGTGTAAAATCACACATGAACAGAATGATGTAAGCGCTTACATCAGGAGGCAAATAATGCAGATAGTGGACAATAGTGGAGGATCCCACCTCCAAATAATGGAGCAGATAGTGGACGGGATAGTGGAAAATAATGGAGGATCCCACTTCTTTTTGAAAATTGTCTTCTTGTAATAGATAGGTCCTAATGCACTATATAATGGGATGGTGAGTCACCACCCACACCCACTTTATCTCCACTAAGAACTTATTATGTAAAGGTGTCGGCCATGAGAAGCCAGATGTAAAGAGGCAGAGTTATATCTCTCGCCTATAAATAAGTCTCTCAAACTTCATTTGAGGACACAACAATTCGAAATAAAATTACTTCTTAAGATACTCTTTCTCTCTCTAAAGGTTTTCATGTTTTCATATATAATGAGTTTCTAAATACTTAGTAGATATAAGAAGAAAGATTAAAGGTGTTAGTTGATTGAGCAATAGTCTCTCTGGAGCACTGAAAGTTCTGAGAAAAGGCCGAAACTGGTATGCGTCAAGGCTATTAAATCCAGAATTGTGTTGAGAACAGGTGGAATCAGGTAACTCTCTTAAATCGAGTACTCTTATATCTATCTTGTTAAAAATTGTTATTGATTTTTTTAGTTTCCCATGGATATAAATGATTTTTGGTATATGCCATATAGAGAAATACATAAGGATGTAAATCGTCTCAAAGCATTAATAGAACAAATTGCTTCATTAACAAAAATGTTAAAAGAAAATGAACAAATGTTATTCAACCTAGTAAAAATTTATGCACCTAAAGAACACTCAGTAGAAGATCATTTCCGAATATGCGATAATATTACTTCTTCAAATAATAGGATTAAAGAGTTAATAAAGAAAGCTGAGTACCAAGCATTTAGTGTAAGTGTTCAAATAAGACTAAGAATTCTAAATATAAGATAATAAAAAATAAATAATGGATAACGAATATCATGTTATAGAAAATATAGAAGAACAAGGAATTTATTTATCAGATATATTATTAAATAAGAAGGTAGTAACAAAAGTAAAAAATAAAGGAAATTTAGATTTAGAAAAGAAAGAAGGAATAAATAATAGTATATTAGAAAAATTAAATAGAAAAAATATAATACATTATGGAATAATGAATGGAGAACAACCAATTAGAATAGAACAAGCAAATTATAATTTTCAAGCACCCTTAGTTGAAATAAATCAAATAGAAAAGAGATTAGAAAAAATAAAAGAAGAAGAAAGAAAAAAGATAAGTTATATACACATAAATACAGTACAAATAGTATTACGATCTACATTTAGAGAAGGAATAAAGACACCCGTTAATATAAAAGTTGAAGATAATAGAATCATGCATAAAGAATCTAGAAAGCTAGGAGAAATAGAAGGAGATTTAGGGTATGGAGTAATTAAATTTAATATATCATTACAATTTTCTATACCATTATCAACCAAGAAAATTAATAACTACATAGGAATAATATGTAATTTTCAAGAAAAAACATTAATGAAATCAGGAGATATACCTATGGTTGTTTGTTATAGAATAGCTTATGCATTAAGTAATAGTAGTTTAAGTATGAATTATCAAAATCAAGAAAGAATATATACAGAAAAAATATTCAATGAAACCAATACCATTATTAAAAATGATAGAATTCAAAAGGAATTCTTAAGAAAACATAGTAGACGATCATTTAGTAATCCTACAAATTTAGGAAAAGTAAGTGAAAATAATTTATTAAAAATTCAAGAAATTGAAGAACCTCATAGTAGCAATAGTTTATATAAAGGGGATATAGAAATAGAAAAATTAAATAAACAGGTAAATGAGTTAAGCTCATTAGTAATAAATTTAAATAATAAAATATAATTTGTAGTAATGGATAAGAGAGATATAAATCTTGAATTAAATGAATTAAAACGAAGGGAAATCAAAGAAGTAGATTATTTAATAGAAAAATCAATTCAATATGCATATATAAACAAGGATGAACAAAAATTAAAACAGACAGAATATGATATACAAAAATATAAGAAAAAATTTAAGAAATTACATAAAATAGGACCACCTAAAACAATAATATAAAAGGCTTCAAAGAAAGGAGTATACAAAGTTAAAAATATGAAATACAAAGTAAAATTATCAAGATATGAAATATAAAGTAAAATTATAAAGTGGTATCAAAGCCTGGTAACAGGTGAAATACTTAACTAAATGCCATAAATAGATTGGCTAAATGCATTTTTAGCAAGACGTAAAACTCTTGAAAAGAAAATTGCAAATACAGCACCGCATTCTGAAATACATGAAAAACACATAGAATATTGGAAAGGTAAACTTGAATTTACAAATCCTAGAAACAAATAGTAGAACTTATTCAAGATCAGAAGAACAATTCTTTGAAAAATGTTTAGATCCTTGGAGATACAAAAAATAAAGAGAATAAACAACAACAACAACAACAACATAGTCTTTAGTCCCAAGCAAGTCGGGGTAGGCTAGAGATGAAACCCAAGAGAAACACAAAAAGACTCGAACCGAAAGGAAGAGATCGAAAAAAAAACAAAAAAAAAGAGAGAGAGAGAGAGAGAGAAAAAGGAGCAAAAGTCACGGTTCTGGCACGTTGATAGCGAGCCTCCAAGCGCTCCTATCCACCGCTAAATCCTTGGAGATATTCCAATCTTTAAGGTCTCTCTTAACCGACTCTTCCCAAGTGAGTTTAGGCCGACCTCTACCTCTCTTAACATCCTCGACCCGCTGTAGAACTCCCCTACGCACCGGCGCATCAGGAGGCCTCCGTTGGACATGTCCGAACCACCTCAGCCGATGTTGAACCAATTTCTCCTCAATTGGGGCCACCCCGACCCTATCTCGAATATCCTCATTCCGGATTCTATCTCTTCTTGTGTGCCCACAGAACCAACGCAACATACGCATCTCTGCTACACTTAGTTATTGGACATGTTGCCTTTTTGTAGGCCAACATTCAGCACCGTAGAGCATCGCCGGGCGAATCGCCGTCCTATAGAACTTACCTTTTAGCCTTTGTGGCACCCTCTAATCACAGAGAACGCCCGACGCCTGACGCCATTTCAACCAACCAGCTGCAATTCTATGCCTAACATCAGCATCAATGCCGCCATCCTTTTGTAGCATCGATCCCAAATACCGGAAAGTCTCCTTCTTGGCCACCACTTGCCCGTCAAGGGTAACGTCACAACATAGCAGGTCTCAAGCCCTGGTAAAGGAGGAGGGTTGTGATAGGCTTGGCGAGCCAACGTAAAACCTAGTCGTTCTATGGAGATGAAACACATGAGAAAGAGAATAAATTAAAAATAAAAATGAGTACAATAAAAATTTATTTGGACATAGAATGGGAAATTCAAAATATCAAAATAGATATAATAAGATATGCTTATTTACATGACATTACAAGTGAAAAATTTTATTATGACATGATAATGATATGTGAAAAACAATTAAAAAGATTAAGAAATCTATAAACACAAGTAGCTGTTGCAATAAAATGGCATATAAGAAAATACTACAGCCACACCAAGCAGACACTACCCGTAAAGGTAGCATCGAATGAACTTAATAAATGTTAATGGGAGTTTGACTAAAATTTGACTTACTATTTTTTAAAAATGGTAATTCTTATTATATATATATATATATAGATATAGATATTAATAAATATTTCTTAATGTCTTTGGATTGAAAAACAGAAAAGAAAGAAAAGAAAAAGGAAGAAGAGAAAAAGGCATGTATGGTATCGACAAGAGTAAAAAGAGGGACAGAGCGTGGGGCGGTGGGGCGGCTTTCTCATTTCTTAAAGGGATAGAGACGAGACTGAGAGAACATTTTGAGCTTATTGCTTTTGTGAAAACACGGTGTTTCTATGGTGGTAGTCAAAGATTAGGGACAACTCATCTTTTTTATTGTCTTGTTTTTTGCTTTAGCCCTCTTATTCGTTGGCTTTGATCCCTTTATGGCTGTTGGTCTCTCTCTTATTGTTACTTTCTGGCGTATGATAGTGCATCGGAACTGCTCTGTTCATAGAGTAGAGCATTTTCTGTTGGCTTGATTCACCTTTTAATTTCAGGTTAAGTTTCATAGCCTTTTTTTCTACTCTTATGATCAGTGTGTGTGTGTGTGTGTGTGTGTTTTTCCTTCTTGGAATGCTCAAGGATAAATTGGGTTTTGTTGGAATCTGGTGTTTCAAGGTAACAAAGAAAGTATGTCCACTCTTAAAATTTATGATCTTCCTTTTTTCTGCTTATCTTTTCCAACGGGTAATAATCACACCAAAACAGCGGTGTTTTTTTTAATGATAATGGGTTCTTGATTTAGTGATTATGAATTTCTGTGAAGGGAATTTTGGGAGAGAACTTGATGTTATGTATTGAAAAAAGAATTCTGATAGCTCGTGTAATGAGGTGTATCAGTTAGTCCAATAGTTCTTTGTAAAAATTCATCACTTCTTTTTGAGAGAACAAATATGTTGGTCATTATATTTTGTTCATATTGTGTAAATAAATGCTTTCAGTATCTTCTGAAACCATCTTATTCCCTTTGTCAGCTTATTTGGTGGTTCAAATCCTCTCATTCGAATATTATGCTTCTGTTCTAACAGGTCTCTCCAACTTCACTGGTGAAACAAATTACACGATATAAAGAACAGTAGGAACTTGATACTTGTACTTAGTGGATAAAGCAATAGCATGGGAGCAAGTGGTGTTTAAGTGCATTAAGGATCTCCATTAGTTGGTGCTATTTCATTGGCTCTTTCTCATAGACCACTGGTTGCAGGCGAACTAATATAGCTTGGGGCATTCTTTTTTTTTTTCCCAATAAAAGCAAAATTGGAATATTGGTGCTAAGTCAAGGTGTAAGTAATTGTAGTGGGCATTTGAAGCTGGACAGAAAAACCAGCTGATAACTGATATTATAGAGGTGAATAGAATTTAATATTCATGAAATGAAGTTCATGAAACTTGGATCGAAGCCCGACCTCTTTCAGTCGGATGGGGAGAATATCAGGTTCGTTATAATTGATGTCGAATGTGGTAACATCTTTGTTCTAAGTATTAAATAGCCTATTCAATAGTTTTCTTCATTTATCATTTGGTTTTACCAGATTTTGGCCTAAACATTCCTGGGCACAACTTTTACTTTGATAATAGATCCTTAAGATTCAAGAGCTATAATTAACATTTCATGTAGACAGACCTTCTATTATCGGTGGATTATGAACAAACCATCCATGTATGGATAGGGTCATCTCGGTGTTTTACTATGTTACTAAAACCTGAAACTTGATGTTAGTAAAATATATGGCACACATTTTTTTTTTTTTTGGGTTTTGAAATTGCAATAAATAACATTCTGTAGCAGATAATGTAGTTTAGAGAGAGAGAGAATGAGAGAGATTGATGTTAAGGACCTATGATTGTCGTGTTAATAAAAGTATTTGTGGCCCCGTTTGCGATCAAGACCTGCCTTTGAATTTGTAAATTAAATGGCTACAATATACAATGAGAACATGAATTTTATATGCCGTTTCGATATCAATATATCCTTGCATGTCCTTAATGCCTCTTGGGCTTGTTTTATTGTTATGTCTAAGAGCATGCATTTCTTTACAATTTGAACTAGTATAGTGAAAATGGCTGCTCGTTTGCTTTTCAGGTATGTAGCATCAGAGCTGGCAACTGACATGGTTGTCAGTGTTGGGGAAGTCAAGTTTTATGTCCACAAGGTGCATAATCTTCTTACAATTATATTGGTTAAAATCTATTCTAAGCAAGCACTTCACTTGTAAATTATTGTATGGAGTTCTTTCTGCTTCATAATCTCATTCGCGGTTCTTTCGTACATGGACTTCTAAGATGAAAATTAAATGGTATTACAAAACTTGTCGTGTTGATTTAATTTATAAAATTTCATGCTTGTATATTCATTCTAAGTATCCTTTTTCAGAAACTTATGAGATTCAAAATCAGTTTCAATCATGGACTTTCTACATTTACTATGACTACTCATTTGATTTGCTGGTGATTTTCCCCTCCTCACTTGTAACGAATAGGGATTATTACTATATTTTACTAAAACTACCTTGGCCGTTTGGCAAAAATTACCCAAAACGATCCAGCTCTTTGAAGATAACAAAAAAAAAATAAATAAATAAATAAATAAAAAAATAAAAAAATAAAAAAAAAATCTTGATGTTACATGAACCTTACCATTCTGCACCTGCTGTTGATACTTGATAGTCCTAATGGGCATCCCTCCCACAAGTCATTCAAGTATTTCAGCCACATCCCTCAACTTCTACGAATATTACAAGTAGCCCCAGTTTTCTAATCTTGCATTTACATCGACCTCTCTTTATTTTAAAAAATATTCTAGAACCGAAGTTGAGGTGCTTCTAAATTAATTATTTTCTTAAATTAATATTCACACATCTACCCACAAGTGTAGTAGTTGTATAAGTATAGCACTCAACAAAGAATAAAACGGTAAAAAACGAAATAAAACGCTTTTACACGATCTTTCGTATCCTTTGCAGTTCCCTCTCCTCTCCAAGAGCTCCCACCTCCAGAAACTCGTGGCCGCCACAAACGACGAAGTCGACATCCACGACATCCCAGGTGGGCCCACTTCCTTCGAGATATGCGCTAAGTTCTGCTACAATATGGCCGTCACTCTCAACCCCTACAACGTGGCAGCTGCCAGGTGTGCAGCCGAGTACCTCGAAATGTACGAAACTGTCGATAAAGGAAATCTCATCTACAAAATCGATATCTTCCTCACTTCAAGTGTCCTCCACAGCTGGAAGGACTCAATAATCGTGCTGCGCACCACAGCTCCCCTCTTCCCTTGGTCTGAGGACTCGAAAATCGTGAGTCGTTGCCTTGACTCAGTCGCGACTCGAGTCTCGGCTGACCCTTCGCGAGTCGAGGACTTTTGCGAACTCCCGGTCAATCTGTACAAACGCGTCTTGACCACTGTACGGGCGAACGGGAAAGTTCCGGAAGACGTGATAGTCGAGTCGCTCAGAGCATACGTTCTGAAGCGGGTCCCGCTTCTCAGCAAAGGGGCTGATGTGGCAAAGTGCTCGTATTTGGTAGACACGATTATTGATTTGTTACCGACCGAAAAGAACTTCTGCGCGGGTGGCTGCGATTTTCTGCTTAGACTATTGCAAGCGTCGATCGTTTTCGGGTGCGCGGAGTCTGGCAGAAGGGAGCTCACGAGAAGAATTGTTGTTCGGTTGGGTGAAGCTTGCGTGGATGATTTTTTGATCCGTTCTCCGAGTGGAGTGACGGGCGTTTGCGATATTGATTTGGTTCGGGAATTGGTCGAGGGTTTTGTGATGGGAGGAGAATATGGAGATGAATCTAAGGCTAAGGTGGCTCGACTTGTCGATGGGTATTTAGCCGAGGCTGCTAGAGACCCGTCTTTGCCTATTTCGAAGTTTGTGGGGTTAGCTGAGATGGTTTCGGGCTTTCCAAGATTGAGTCACGACAGAATTTACCGTGCAGTCGACATGTTCCTCAAGGTTTAGTAGGTAATATATATGTGGTTAATAAAGGAAAGCTGTGATTAACATGAATAATAATAATAATAATATTTTACAGGAACACTCGTCGTTGAGCAAGAGTGAGAAAAAGAGAGTTTGCCGGCTAATGGACTGCAAGAAGCTGTCGGCCGATGCGTGTGCGCATGCTGTGCAAAACGAGCGGCTTCCAATGCGAGTGGTGGTGCAGGTGCTCTTCTTCTGTGAGCAGGCCCGTTTGGTGTCTGGGCCCAATACGCCTGGGCCGGCCCATGGATCGTACACAAGCTCCACCACAGACACGTCTGAGGACTGGGACACTTCGGAGGAAAGAGGAAATGAGAGGATATCAGTTGAGGGTAGAGTGAAAGGGAGGAATATTCTGTCTAGACTCTGGTCCAGGCGGCGCTTGGGAGAGACGAGCAGTTCAGACACGTCGGAAAAGAAGTGAAGGATGATGCTTTTCTTCTTTTTATTTTATTTACGACTACGAGCCATGTGTTGTTAGCTTTCAGATGAAATGTGCGCCATTTAATACTCAACCACAAAGGCCGCTGCTTACTTTAGTGGCTCATGGACAACTTCTAGAACAGTCTGAGTTGAACCGAGCAGCCCTTTGTTATTGCCGGTTCGAACTGAAGTCAACCACAAAGGGTGAGTCACAACAAATAGCAGCAATATAAGGGAAATTTTATAAGAATAAATTGTTGGAATCCACGAAGCAAACAAAACCCAGTGCATTTAGTGGAATGTGGTCGAGGAAGGACACAAAGTCCGACTCAAATCCCAGCACCCTCTGCTAAGTCGCAACTCGGTGTAGGCTAGAACAGCAAGGGCACGTGCCCCTGTAGAAATTAAAAAAATAAAATAAAAGCTAATATAAGGTTGAGTGGTTTATTTGCTGTGATTTGTCCTTTTTTTAATTAAGTTTCTAACAATATAAATAATTTTTCTTTTTCTCGAACCGGCAAATACTATTATAAAAACTCAAAATAAGTATAACCCGTAACCAAATGGTTAGAATCACTAAACATAGCGCTCCCACTTCACAAAGGGCTTAACCCAACAAGAAAATTCAAAACTAAAATACTCCACAAGGAGGCTAGAAAACTCCACCAAGGGAGACTACAAAACAAAACACACTAAAACAACACCTACGAATACAATAAAACCTACCCTACTCTTCTCGAACCCACACACAGCAACCGCCAACTAAATAAGAATACAAGCAACGTTGAGTCTTAAAAATTCCACCTCAAGCTTAATGAGCCAAACAATAGAAAATTATACAAAAAATTCAAACTTGACTCTTTAATGAAACGAGCTTTAAGCAAGCTCGAGCTCAGTTATCAAACCCAACTCGAGCCTTACAAGCTGAGTCGAGCCGAGCTCACGAGCGGCTCGTTTCGTTTAACAACTCTATTTGTGACATTACAAACGAATTTCAGGAAGGCAACTCAAAGCTGCAGGGGCTAGTCAATTCTTCAAACAAATCTCAGTTAGCAGACAAGCTATGTCCAGCTATGTCCAACTGGTTACTGGTCATTCGTTATTAAACAGATCCTACTAAAGATATAGATTCAGACCCTGAAGTTCCTAGAGAACATGAAACTATTGAAAGATACTAGAGAAAACAAATAACTCTTAGAACCTTTTGTGATAGCTCTTAACTTTTAATGAGTTGATCAAACAATATTATCATCTCAAAGGTTAAAAAAGCCAGATAGCACAGAGCACCAGCCGCAATGGATATCACAAAAGACTCAAATAACATTTCATAAAAACGCACACCAGAACAAACAAGATCACTCACAATTCACAACCAGCAACTCAATTGACAAAAACCCATCATGGCCACAATGCATACAAGCTGATATACACCTCAGTAATATGCCATAATTTCTAGGCAGCAGAAATATATATCAGAATTAACCAAACAAGAAAGCATTTTAAACTCAAAGCAATCACCGTTGTACTAAAAGGAAACAAAATAAAAATCAAGGTACATAAAAAAGTAACATATCATGACAAAGTCTTCGCAATAGCATTTCATAAACATAAAGATCCAAAAATCAACAACAAACATAAATCGAGACTAGTGAACCAAACGCAGCCAACAAACCTATTAATCTATGGTCTGCATGATATCCTCGGCGGTGAACTTGGTCCCCTTGTCCTTGTCGGCCGCGGCGCGCCCCTTGGCCTTGCGCTCGAGCAGGGACTTGCGGTCCTTGTCGAGGCGGAGCTTGGTGATAACGACCTTTGAGGGGTGGATGCCTACATTGACGGTGGATCCGTTCACCTTCTCGCGGGTGATGCGCTCTATGTGGATTACCCACTTCTTGCGGTAGACCTGAACGACCTTTCCCTCGCGGCCCTTGTAGGTTCCCCGGACAACCTGCACCTCGTCGTCCTTGCGGACCGGCATCGATCGAACATTGTACTTGGACCGGAGGTCGCTGGAGAGCGGCGCGCTCATGATGACGCGGCGAACACTCGACGGCGCCGTGAAGTGGGCCTTTCGGCTCTTGCGGCGGGAGGAGGACACGCGTGGGTTGAACTTCATTTTCCCTTGGCTGCTTCTACTCTGACCTGTGCGGGTGTGATTGTGTGCTCAAGCTGAAACCTAGAGGATGAGTGTTAGGGTTTTCAGAATTTATAGTGGATGCGCTAATACGGTGTCGTATTTTATCACTCTGATGCGGGGTTGGGATGTCTGAGTTGGGTCGCATTTTTTAGAAAAAATGTTCATGGGCCAGATTGTCAAAATGCTAAGGGCTTAAAATTTGAATTTTGATGTGATAGGCCATAGCTTTGTTCTCAAATGGGTTTATCATGGCTAAAGTCCAAACTATACCAATATAAAACTTTGGGTAATTCACACCCCTCCAATGTGTTTTATAAATATTTACAAACGTACAATGATAAATTTTTACAAACGTACGATGAAGTGCAAAAAATGTTTGGATACAAATTTATCCAAAAAAAAATTAATTATTTTGAACTCAATCATTTTTTTGAACTCGACTTTAACTCAATTCCACTGTCATCAATATTATCAATATTATCAAATAATATCAACCAATCATTCTTACACATCACATCAATTTTAATTCACTATTCATCCACTCACATAATTTAACTAACTATCACTTCAAATCATCTATTTTCTACTTTTACATTAAATCAACTTTAATTATTTTATTTTATATATTATTTTAATACATCCACTAACAACTAATCATACCACATTTTTCAAAATTAACCAAACCAAATCAAAAAATCCAAACAATTTTTTTATATCCAAGCAGCAACCCAACAAAATTAATATCTCTTAATTAGTCTTTTCTTGTCTCGTTCAAAAAATAAAAAAATAAAAAAAATGGGTGCATGCCATAGTTTTTAAACCCGGTCCGGTGATCGACTCGGGCAGGTCCTCGGGTCACCGGGTCACCGGTTCAACCGTCGGGTCACCGGGTCAATTGTTGAACCGGATAATTAATTTAAAAATTTTTAAAATTATATATAGAGTATTTTTGGTATATAAATATACATAAAAGTAACAAATTAAATGTTTTGTGTATAAAATTTGTATATTAAAGTGTTAATGATATGTATTTCATGATAAATATTTACCATATAAACATATATACATATTTTTATTTTTAAAAAATAAAAAAATAATAAAAAAAATAAAAAATATATATATGGACCGGGTCAACCGGGTTGACCCGGCCGGGTCAATGCCCCGGGTCGGCCGGGTTTTGACCGGGTTTGACCGGGTCATTGGTTGCCCGGTCCAAATACTC